GGGCACGCGAAGGAATTTAGACGTGTATAATTGAACTACCTAGGCTCCAAATGATGCTAAGGAGATGCCTTAGGTCAGGGATAGCTAGCCAATTCCCTTCATGATGCCTAGGAGTTGCCTAAGGTCAAGTTGTGTTAAAAATTTTCGGTGTGAGTTGTGTTGTGATGAAAATGGTTTAATGGGAAGAGTGCATTTCATTGCATCTCATTTCATCATTTGCAAAGCATAAAGTTTAAACTTATGTTGTAGAATTATCTCATTCCCCATTATAGGATCCCTTCTCTTGTTATCCCTTACTTTGGATGTGATTCACAGGATTACAAGAGGTGCATTTTAGGCTATCTCTATTGAGCCGTTGTGCTCACCCTATATTCTAAAATTTTTAGGACATGGCAAAGATGTTGTAAATGATTCACCCTCGCAAGTTTAGACGTAGTTTGACGACCATTTTTGTATCTTTTGTAAAGGCATTCTTTTAGGAAAATTGACTATATGTAATGACCTTATTCTTTTGCCAATTTCAAGTGAAATCGTTGTATTTGTGGCTACAGAGGCCTTACTTGTAATCTTATTCTTTTGGATACAATTTCATCATTTTGAGATGTATAGATAATGTTAATTTGATGTAATTACGTGTTTGATTTCATATATGGGTTGTTTAGCATGTTGATCTATGTTGGAAAGGGATTAGAGATGAGTTTTGGTCAATTCTCATGGACCTAGGATACATCCAAAATGTTTTTATGAAACTTGAAAAATTCACTCTTTTTTATTTTATTTATTTATTATTGTTATTATTATTATTATTATTATTTGCATAAAGCAAGTAACCGGTTAGATGAATCCTTTCATATTTTCTCGATTTTATCACAAAACCGGTTAGTTGGTCTAAGGGGGAGAAATTTCCAATTCTGCAAGTTCACTACCCAAGCTAAGTAACCAGTTAGAAGGATTTAAGTAACCGGTTTGATGAATATGTAACCGGTTAGATAAATCATCTAACCGATCATTTGGTTGAGCAGAATGCATGTTTATTGGGCTAAGTCATCTAACTGGTTAGATAGTTCAATGTAACAGGTTAGGTGGTCTTGTATTTACACCTCGACCCCAGATTTCAGTATAATTATCTAATTACCCTCAAACTTTAATTAAAGATAAAATGACCATAAAAAAATGATAGTTTTACCCCTGATGAGTTTAGAAGCTATAATGAACGTACTAAATGACTATTTTGCCCTTCTGGTTCTAAACCATTATTTAACCATGGTAAATGACTTTATACCTTTATGGACTCCAGAATTATTATAATGACGTGAAATGACTGTAGTACCCATGTGTGACCTTAGGTTTGAGTAAGGACTCGGTTAGTGATCCGGACCCTCGGGTTTGGGTCATTACATTGGATGACTAAAGATCAATCTTAGATGTCCAGACCTTAGGCGATCAAACCTTTGTCGTAGATGACCAAGCCTTGAGCAACTAGACCTTAGTCTTGGATGACCAGGCCTTGGTTTTGGATGGCCATGCCTTGGTCTTGGATGACTAGACCTTCGCAGGCCTTAGATAACCATGCCCTGGTCTTATATGACTAGGCCTTGGGTAACCAGGATTTGGTTTTGGAGGACCAGCCTTGGTCTTGGATGACTAGGCCTTGGATGACTTATTCTCTCTTTTATAGTTTAGTCTGGGTCTATTTGACCATTACTATTTCAACCTTTTAATAATGGGAGTAATCATTCTTGCCCCTTTAATAAGGGAGGTAGTTATAGTTACAAGCTTTACTCAAGTTGTCCCTTTGATAAGGGTTCGTAATAGGTCCAAACTTCACTTGGCTTGCCCTTTTGATAAGAGGATTTGTATTAGGTATGAGTTTCACTTAGTTCACTCATTTATTAAGGGGACTAATGATTTTGAGTTTCACTTAGTCCATTTTTTTAATAAAGGGTTTAATTTTTACGAGCTTCACCCAGCTCGCCTATTTAATAAGAAAATTTCTGTGTTTGAGGATGTCTTGGTGATGAAAATCGTAAATTATTGATTGACAAAACCTCTGCCCTTTTTCCCTATAGTGTCAACCACTTCTGCCTCTGAATATCATAGGCCCAACAGAATTGATATATATACACACACACACACACACATAGCTACATACATGAATTATTCATCCTCACAAACCCGGGGGGGGGGGGGGGGGGGGCTATGTTCCCCCCTAATTTTTTGGATTTTTTTTTAGTATAGGTAAAAATAAAATAATATAGCATATATGGTATAAAATCTATACTTGGCCCCCCCTTAAGTAAATTTTTTTTCTTCCTTTAATTAGCATTTAACAAAAGATAGTTTATATATAATCTAAAAGAAAGTGATTTAATTAACCACTATAGAACCCGATAAAAACTGATTCACATAAAAATTTAATATTTAATGTGGCTATCTTAAAATTTCAACTCAAACACGGTTCTTTCCATAATGTGACTGTCTTAAAATCCTTCCAACTCAAGTACGATTCTTTCCATAACCTTATTATCTTAAAATTCCCTCTATAAGAATTCTATAAGAAATTAATATTTACAAAATCTAGAACAAAAATTTCATTTGAAGTTTTGAATGTCAACAAATTTCGATGATTTAAGATTCTAAATTCTTATTTTATTAATTTGTTTGTGCTTTTTTTATCATTGTTATTGTTTTGTTAAATTTTCAATTGTTATTTTTTTAAAAAAAAAAAAAGTTATTTTTGTTTTTTTTTTTCTTTTTAGTAAATAAAGAGAGTAATTTAATTGAATTTTTTTATATAATTTTGGCATTAAACTTATTTGTGTTTGTTCAGAAAGTTTGATAAAAAAAAAAATTTAAATAATTAGTTTTTTCTTTAAATAAATTGAGAAAAGTTTAGATAGATTTATTTTTGTATGAATATAATAAATAGTAAAATATTTTTGTGTAATAATTTTTTTTTTTTTTCAAAAATTTTATCTAAGTAATGTTGTTTATAATTTTCGCTCCCCCATCCTCAAGATCCTGACTCCCCGCCCTGCTCACAAATAAATTACGAGCAATAATGTGTATCCTCCAATTGAACAGATTTTGTATAAAAATGAGTGTCACGTGAGAGGAGGCAAGAGATTTTTGCTTTGCCACGTGCTTCTTACTCTGTGTGACCTATTTTAATGAATTGTTGAAAACAAACAACACGATGAAGTCAGATAGCAGCGGGATTGACCAAAAATAAAAAGAGAGAAGAACATGATAAAAAGGATTGCCAAGACTTGCTGGGATGTACCCAATTTCGTAAGCTATGATGTCCGATACGCACCTTTTTTCGCTTTCTGTTCTTTCTAACATTTTGCTTCCTTTATGCAGAAGAAAGAGTAGTAACCACATTACGACGTCACTGTATCATCTCTTGCCACTTTGTCTTTTTTTTTTTTACTCTTTTTTCAATTTGGTTATTCCATTTAGTGTTTTTTTTTTTTTTTTTTTTTTTGATAAGTATTTTCTTTATATAAATTAATTATATTACACGTGTGGCATACTAATGTGATCATAAGATTCCCACATGCATTAATTAGCCAAAAGTTCAAAATAAATAATTTTTATTTATTTACTCTAGAACCTTCAAAATAAATAATTACTGTACGCACCTTCCAAAGGTCAAAATAAATAATATTTTTTAGACCCTTCAAAATAAATAATTATGGAAGAAAAGTAGAAGGTAATTTATGAACCATAAATCACTTGGTGGTTTAATTCATTCAAAATTCTTTATGATATCAAATACTTTCTCAAAAACTAGGGTTAGATTATAAGTAACAATTTTTTTTTTTCAAATTAGATAAAGCAACATTGGGATAGGATGGTACAAGCTACGTCTCTAGTAGATCCATAATAAATGGGAGTCCGATAAAGCAAACCTCAAAACACTTCAAAGAATAATTATATATTAGTACTTATAAAAAAATATATACGCATGTTATCCTTTTTTTAAAATTTTACTGGGAAGTATATCATTGATACAAAATTAAACAATAATGGTACAAGAAGAAAAGTGATCAACAAAGAAGATCACTAAAGAGAAAGGAAAGCAACAAAGGTTAAGGGAATACCCTAGAACCAGAAAACCAACAAAAGAAATAATTACAAAAGAAATAGTAACCAAAGAAATAGTTAGATGAGGTCACCAAATGGAGCTTAGAGCGAAATGCTTATTATTTTTGTTTTTAAAATTTTATATTATTACTTTAATTATCCTATCACATATTTTTTTTTCGATAAATTCGTATCATATATTTTGGAAATGCATTGACATCACATTCTTCTAAAGAAATAATTACAAAACTAGGTTGTTGTGTCTTGGAAGTGCCCCAAACGTGTCCCTTTCCATGTCATGTCCTTGCCGTGCCGATCAAATAATAATTTAATTTCAAGACATTTTCTATAATTTCAAGACATTTTCTATAATTTCAAGACATTTCTATGTCGACTTGTGTTCATTCTTTGTGCCACCATCGCATCCCTAAGAGAAGTTTTCGCGCCTTCTAGGGTGTGACCTTTTCTGATATTTCTATAATCCTCTCTATTCTCTCTTTTAATCAAGTCGGAGCTTTTCCGAGAGAATGCCATTATTAGCAATAGTTACCAAAGTATGTGCCAAACGCAATTATCGAGTCAAGAATTAATGTGGAGCCAATTATCAATTTAAAACTACTGCAACAGATGGAGTTAATGTCTCAAACCGTTTCCAACAACCATAACTGTGCTACCATTTCAAATCAAATCTTTTGATCTTGGATTCTTCCAATACAGAGGCAATAGTTCACATAATCCATCACCACCAATGTAACACAATTATAGGGTTTTTTTTTTTTTTTTTTCGAGAAATTCATACGCAATTATAGTCGAGACTTGAGACAAACGGCTATTGTAAAAACTGCAAATGCTCTATCTTGATGTTTACTTATTTCTCATTTCAAGAGAAATTATTTTGATGTATAGACTACTTCACAATTAAAAACTTATTTTCATCAATTTAGTCAACCTAATAATTCTGCATATCCTGTTATAGCTTTTGACATAATTCAGATGTCAAACTCACACAAACCTTTTCCTCCCAACAGATCAAGAGTATCTCGAACAAATGTATCAGTTAAGATAATTTTTTAACATGGAAATTACCTAGGTATTACTTTATTACATTCACACAGAGAGAGTCTTAATTTTAGCAACTCAAATTCCATTTAGGGTGACCACAACTCTGCGCGCAGTAGCTGAGTCACGATGCTCACACAGCCATATCCCCTGAAACACAACAAAAAGATGGTATACTTGCTACCTTTTAATATGAACTTTAAAATACATAAAATTACAAAGCAAATAATACATTTATAAAGGTTCTTCGACTTCCAAAAAAAGTCGAACGGTCAAGAATCATATGCAAACACGGTATGAAAACATCAAAGCCAGTGCCAACGATCTAAAGTCCATGACCAAAAACCACCCAGCCGAACCTATATAATACTCGAGGTCTATAGAATTTGTCTGTGTTTTTTGCTTATCAAGACACAAGGACTACTAAGTTGCAGCCTGAAGCCAAAACAGAGGATAACCCAGAAATACAACATTGGTTAGTGACAGTAGGCACATTCTAAACCATCATATATACCGCTAAAATAAAGATAAAAATAATAACTATAATAATAAATCAATCAATAATAAGTAAACATTCAAATAGTGGAACTAGCCCTTCCAGGAAACAGCTGATTATTACTAATTTAATAGCCCCGAGGATGAATGAAAATAGCCACAAAAGATACCAATGGATTGTAGAACAAAACTTAACAGGAAGACATGATTAACATGAGCTGCATAGCAAGTCCAATCTCCTGAATATAATTTTTAACTGGTATATCATGCTGAACAAGTTCAAGTCCGCAAATGCCCAAATGGCAACTTGCACAAGGGATCTTCCTTGTACTGTTATTTTCAAGTCACAAGAACAGTTCCTACCTTGTGAAATTGCTTCCAAGTTCGAAGGTAATGGTTACTCTCCTACCATGTGAAATTACTTCCAAGTTGCAAAGGTAATGGCTTAGCTGAGCCTCTCCATGGTGTTTAATGCAAACCAAGAGAATGCTTTTTAACTTCTACATATAGACCTGTTTTAAGAACTTTGCAAAAGGTTAATCACGTGTGCATAACCAAGACCTCATCCCGAAACAGGTTGCATAATGCGAACACTAACCAGACCCATTAAAATTATATATATCCAAACCCATCATCTAACCCCCTTATTTTTCTACATTTCAGTTTTTTTGGGGGGTTCAAAATTTGTTATGATAATTAATCTACAAATAGAACATAATATAATATCATATTGGTATCATTATGCCATAAAAAGTTACAATTATACAGAGTCAAACAAGATAGTTAATTTAAAAAAAATAAAGAGTATGCAACCTGTCATGTCAATGGGAACTTGATCCATCCATTTATAGGTTGAGGCAAGTCAACTCATATCCATACCGTTTAAGTAAAGAGGTTCAAAAAATGAACTCAACCCTGAAATATGCTGGATGGAAACAAGCTGATTGGAGAGTTGGTTCAGAAAATATTTTTAATAATCCTCCGTAAGCTGATTGGAGAGTTGGGTCAGAAACTTAAATCAATATGGATGTTTACATGTTTTGTCCAAAGACAATGCATTAAATCTGAAGCATAAATAAGTAGTCAATAACAACAAAAATTTTAGAATGTTTTTCTAGAATGAATCGCGGAAAACAATAACATGAACTTATCCCTTGATAATTAGAAACTTCCAGATATTGTTCAGAACTTCATTCTAACTAACACACCTGCCAAGTTCCCATGTTAAGCTGTCCATTTGTAATTGGAATCCTGCACAAGTTAATGACATTGTAAATGACAATTCGGTAGTAAAATGTAAGCACATAAAAGACATAATTATTAAGATGAATATCCGCACGTGAGTGCGCAACCAAACATTGATGACTTGATGTGTGCTGGCATGTCATCTGGACCTGCAAAAGTTGAATATTCTTCATCAACACTTCAGTAAAAGCAAGCAAGAAATTTCATGTAAACCAGAACTAACTGAAATCTTTCGTAGTTTTAACATTTTCGTTTTCTTTGTTTTTTTTTATAGTTTAACATCTTCTTGGTCAATTATATTTTAATCATATACTGTTTAATATTTCCTTTCTTCCACTAGGTTGGTGGAAGTCATATCAGATAAATTAAATCAAGTCAAAATTTTATTCATTGCAATTTAAACAGGGATATGAAATGTTTCCTGACTAAATTAACTTCTGAATATGATGGTTGGATGGTTGGATGGTTTGATGATTACAACCTATTAATGTGAAGGAATTGAAATCTACCTGAGTGTTGATATAGACTCAAGTACTCAAAGGCTCATGTGGACCTTGGATCATGATGATGATAGAGAACAAAGGTTCAAGACATGGGTAGTATAGGTGGGTGGGTGCAAGGACTTGATTGGAAAGTGGCAAATGCATCATGTGCACTGAAAGCTCAAGTCTTGGACACTAAAATTGGTTTAGGGCCAAAATGATTCATACATGCATATCATACAAGAACCCCAGGTTGACTTGACCCTGGAAATTAAATGAAATATATCTCAAGGGAAAAATGGTCATTGACGATTAGATAGTCACTGTGTGCTTATACAAGCTCACATTTAGAGAATGCAAGTGACTAAGACATCAAGGAGATGTCTATATGACCTCAGAACTTAGAATTGCAATATCCTATGAGGACAAACGTCTATCAAAATAGATAGCCGTCTATGTCTTAGCGTTTTGGCCAATTACCAAGAGTTATTATTTTCAGAGAAAAGTAAGACACCTATGACAGACGTCTAGGAGCAAATAGATTTAACCTTATACCTTTTTTGAAAATGTAATGACAGACGTCTATGTCTCAAGACAAACGTCTGTGGCTCTGTGATTTCAGGATTGACCGAGAGTGAGATAATTTCAGGACCAGAAGAAAGAAGTCTACAGTATTCGCGTTTTTAGAAGTATCGAGAGAGCTTATTTGGGCTCAGAATGTCACAAACGTCTCTGCTCTATAGACAGACGTCTATGGTAAGTCTGGGATTTCAAAATGCTATATCCCAACACACCCCATTGTTGCCGAACGGTCATATTTCTCACCCTTGCTATAAATAGGGCACTCCCCGCACCGCGGGGGGGGGGAGGGGGGGGGGGGGGTGGGGGTGGTGGTGGTTGCGGTATAGTACTAAAAAAAAAATTAGTACTATTATAACTATGCCACCCCTCGCAACATAGTTAATTAAGGGCCCGTTTGGATTGGCTTTTGAAACGCTGCTTTTAGCTTTTTTGGGTTAGAAGCTGTTTTGAGTAGTGTTTGGCTAATTTTTTAAAAAAGCTTGAGTCTTAGAAGAGCGTTTTGGAGAAGCTGGGTACCCCCAGCTTTTTCTAAACGCTCCTTTTTTAAAGACACGGGAAGCTGTTAAGGGGTTTAATGAAATTTTCAAAATACCAAGCGTGCCCTCCATATTTGTGAACAAAAAATAAAATATTCCACCTGTATCCTTATATATATGTAAAGAAACCTAATCGCATCACAGATTATCTTCTTCTTCTTCTTCTTTTTTTTCTTTTTTTGTCTTTTTTTTTTTAAAAAAAAAAAGAAGAGAAATTAGCATTGTCTGTTTCAATTTGTGTTTTCTCAATTTGAGATAAAATTTTGTTTTTCACTTTTTTTGGTAACTGATTTTTTTTTTTTTTTTATTTGACTATGTTTTTTCTACTTCGTATTTTTTTCCATTGGACAAATAAATCCTAAATACAGTAGTATTATTTTATATATATATATATATATCGCTACTGCAATTTATTTTTCGATTCCATCTTTATTTTGGTTTTGTTTTCCCTTTTTCTCACATACATTACCATCATATGTTTTTGCCTTCAATTTTTATACAGGTAATATATCTGTATATTTTATATGATTTACTTCTTGATGTTTATGAAAATAAACTCTGTTGGGCTAAGGACTCTTTCAACTTACACCACGGTCAACCAAAAAATATGAAGAACAAAAAAATCTTTTCATCTTTAGCTTTTTTATTTTTTTGTTTTTTTCACCTCGAAATTGAATTGGGAAATACTTTCTATCATTAGCTTCTTTTTTTTTTTCACCTCAAAATGAACATGTATGTAAAGGCGTCCTCAGAATCTTTCTATGGCAACCACGATGCACTAACCAAAAACAAAAATGAAGAAGAAAAAATTCTTTCCATCTTTAGCTTTTTCTTTTTTTCACCTCAAAATTGAATTGAAAAATAAGTGAACTTGTATATAAAGCGTTGTATTTAAAAATAAAAATAAAAATAAAAATTCCTTTCATATATCGATTTCTCAAAACACTATAGAAGAAAGAATTTATAAAATGAGTTACATATATCATGTATGTTGAAAAAAATGAAAAAGAAAAAAAGGAAAATAATTAGATAATTAACTGTATGAATGATTTCCTTTTAGTGAAATTAATTAAAAAATGTAAAAATATGTTATTTAGATCATTTTATAGCCAACAACAATGTAAAAGAAATAAATTTTAAATCATTTTCATAATAGATGTGTGACATATTTTGTTCTTTCACAAATGATATATTTGTTAATATCTTAGCAGTTTTGGTTACAGTTGTTGGGTTATTTCATCTAAGGGCAAAATGGTTTATATTAGTAGTAGAAGAGCTTTAGTAAACATTTTGCCAAACAGACAAAACAGCTCTTCTAACATTAAAAGTTCTTCTAAAACATAGCTCCCAAACACTATCAAATAAGCTGAATAGAAGTGATAGCTTCCGCTTCTCTTTTTCTTCTATGTAAAAGCATAAGTAAAAGCTATGTCAAACGAGCACTAAGAGGTGTAGGTATGACTTTTCTCTCTTCTCTCTCTTCTTTTTTTTGACGTCGGAGTCTTTCACTCCGACATCTGCTGTTTTCATTTATGTTCTTTGATGTTCGATCTTGGCTCTTTGGCAAGGATTTCTGTTATGCATCGCTCCTATCTCAGTGTTGTGACCTTACCTCGTCTCAACTTCAATGGTGATATCAAAAGCTGTTCCGTTAGCGGTGATTCGGTCTTTAGGGTTAATCATCAAAGCATCAAGGAACGTGAATCTGTCTTGCGATCATGCTTGGTTGGTCGCTTTGATAGAGATGTGGGGTGTATTGAAGGGATTGAGGTGTGGGCGACGAAAGTTTGGAAGGTTTCAAGCAGAGTGAAAGTTTCTTCCCTTCCCGACGATCTTTTTTTGTTCAAGTTTCCGTCGGAGCATGAGACTTTAAGGGTTCTGGATGAAGGAAGGAAAAGATGGGGTGATGCATTGCTATCCATCAACATCTGGCATTTCGCGGTTGGATGTTCTGCAGTGAAAGATCGTAGCATACGGAGGGTAACGTTATTTGGCTTGCCCCTTCACCTGTGGTGTCATAAGTTATTTGAAGAAATCAGAAATCTATGTGGTGGATTTAGAGGTGTTGAGGCGGATGTGGCGGTGAGCGGAGAGAGAATCCTTCTCTACGTCTCTGCCAGAAAAACGATGCCGGAGTATGTTTTTGTTGAGGATCAAAGAGTGGCCTTTAAGGTTATTTTGATCGAGGAAGTTACACCTCGTATCCTCCCAAAGTCTTACTATGGCACTGGGGAGAGTTCTCACATGCCGCGTGTTGAAACGATCATCAAAGGAGGTCGCCAGAATTTACAGGTCCGGCAGGGCCTCAAAGGAAATAGCCGATTACATGCCCACACGCTTGAAGCGCGTAGAAAGGGTAGGTCCAGGAGTCGTATCATTCAAGCCCTTGATCAACGCCCACCGTCTCGGTTCGCCCGTTTAAAAAATCATCAAACACGTGGCAACGATCGTGGCATTAAGCCACTCATGCATTAGCGACTGATGGGCTTAAGTTTGGACCGGATGCACGTTCTGGGCTTTCTTTGTCTAATGGGCTCACCCACAGCACTCAGAAGCTTAAAAGGGCCGTTAATTGGGGACCTAGCAATCAGCTATCAATATCAGTCCTGAATGAGAAGTCCACTTCTCTTATCTTGACAAAGCCCAAGCGTAATGGGCAACATTTGAGCAACCCAATGACCAAGGTTACACGGGGGCCCATTTCTTTTCTTAAATCAAAGCCCAGCCCACCTCACTCTCATGTCATAAGTACTTCACAGAGACCACGCTTTAATGGCTTTTCTGGAACTATCTGGAACTCGCCGACGAAGAAGAGGTGGATGGAACTCTCTGATGCCGAGACTGGTGTAAAACCTGCTGAAAAGGGGTTTAGTCATTCTCACTGCTACGCTGAAACTTCTGTTAATCCACAATCGAAGGGAAGCACTAGATCTCTATCTCAGGGCTCTCATGGAGTTCGGTGGTCAAGAAAAGAAAAGCAAAAGTGGGTTTCTTCTAATAGTACAGGTATGTCTTCAGATCTTCCGAGTCCCTTTTCTGATCCACCCTCTTCTTCAACCCCTTCCTGCGAGGTGATGAGGGGTGATGCAGCTGTTACAGAGAAGTTAGATGGGCTGCCACTTTTGAATTCTGAGTTAAATGGCAAGGAATGTTGTAAGTTTGTTTCTCCTGGCCAATTGGTCACCGTTGGCAGTGAAGTCAATGATATCTCTGAAGGACTAACGGTTTGTGTGGGAAGAGATTTGCAGTTTAAGTTGTCCAATGATGAGGCTGTAGCTCTATTCAAAGAGCTACGATTAAATCTTGCGTTGCAAGGTCTCAAATGTATGCCTTCTGCAACAGACGAGGAGAATGAGGTTGGTAGTATTGTTGGGTTGAGTGATTATGTTACAGACTCAGATTCAGTTTATGAGTACGTATGACAGAAAAATTGAAGAGGAGTTGGCTGATGATTTGGGGTCTACCCAACAGGTCTGTTCTAATGAGCTTCAACCTTGGCTGAAGGATGATTCTAACATATCAGTGGTGGAACCCCTAGCAGTGGTGAGA